GTTCTGACAATTTTGTGAATCTGTAGGAATATTTTTTGTTATTGGTTGATGCGAGTCTAAAATTAGATTTGTTGTTGTTTCCATTTCTAATGATGATGTCATGTCTTGAGAATTCAGGGTTAAACTAGAATTTCCTTTTTCTTTGGAATTTTCTTCTACTGCATTTTTTCTAGTATTTGTTTGAACTGGAATAATAGTGTTATAGTTAGTTTTTCATTTTTTTTCTTTACTTTGTTTGCCCATTGTATCATTACTATCAGTATATATGTAAACTGGTCATGTTTTTTTCTTTTGGGTTTTGGCCACGTGTGTTTTGTTATTATTATTTTTTTTATTGTTGTTATTGTTTATTTTAGTTGTCAACATAGTTAGCAACAAGGTTGTAAAGAGGACAGGAGTGCAGAAGGCATTTTCTCTACTTCTTTTAATCTTTGGTAACTTCGTTGTTGTTACTTGTTATAAGTTGTTCTTATTTATTTAGTTATATATTCTAAGTGTGCCTAGTTGCAATTTGATATTTGTTTACTATATAAAAAATGATTTACAGGAAAGAGTTTTTTTATAAAAAAATTTTATTAGTAATATATTTTGTAGTTACTATATAAAATTTTTTTTGCAACTAATTATATATAAAAATGATTTACATTGTACTCTACTCTTAAATGATCTATTAGAAATACAGTTACTTTAAAAATTTAATAAAATAGTTTGTTGAAAAGATTGAAACTGCTAGCATTATGAAAAAGACATGCTTCTAGAACTCCAAGTAGCTTGTATAATAACTGAAAGAATAAACCGATATGTGTTTACATAGAAAAGATCTTACAAAGATGAGACAAAACAAGAAACCATTATTATTTTTCGAATAAACGATTATAATAAATTATAATAGAACAGGGTGAAACCTGGGTTGCGAAATAGTCCGGTTTATTATGTTTTTTATTATATAAAAGCGGATTTCACTATTTCGCAACTCAGATTTCACCCTATCATATAATAATAAACGATTATAATGAATTATTATAATAACTTTATATATTATAATAAACGATTGTATACGTAGATATTATTATAAACTGTTACTATATAATAACGATAATAATTGTTACGTACGGCTGAAACTTGAAATAAGGGACCTCGAATTAAAAATATAAACCCTACCAAAATCCATTTATACTCTTATTATCAAAACTAACCCTAAGCCCTAATCTAACTAAAAAAGCGCCCTTAAAAATTTTATATACGTACTAAAATAACTAAAATTCAAGCTTCAGCCATTTCAAACTTCAGCCGCGACAAATAATTACCAAATTTATACATGAATTCTAATAAATCATGATCACCTGATATACATTGTAAAATCAAGAAACAGAATTCAAGAATATGACATCACAACACTTCATTCGCTTCTGACAAATAACTCATTAGATGAAAAGTCAACAAGACATTTTTTATATAATTAAATATTGATTTGACTTTAAACCTTGATTGAAAAATATCTACATTTCAAAATTAAAAATAGTAATTCCAACATTTATAATAATTGGCTAAATTAATATTGTGATCGTGATTCTTAACGTCAATAGTAACAAATAAGATGAGAAAAAATATGAGATTAATACTTATATGAAATAAAGTAATGATATTCGATATAGTAAAACAGATTGAGTTTAAGGCGTGCATGATCAATCGATGCTAAACAATCAGGGATAAGTTCGTTTCAGATAAATTCATGGTGCCTATATTGCATTTTTATTTGCGTATATTTATTAGTCAGAAGATTATGTGACGAATCGAATTCAGTAAAACTTCGTTAAAGGTTAAAAGGCACATAATGATCAGCTATGATGCTTATTAGTTTACACCTATAGTTTACACTTATAGTTCACACTTATAGTTTACACTTATAGTTTACACTTATAGTTCACACTTATAGTTTACACTTATAGTTTACACTTATAGTTTACACTTATAGTTCACACTTTTATAGTTCACACTTTTATAGTTTACACTTTTATAGTTCACATTTTTATAGTTCACACTTTTATAGTTCACATTTTTATAGTTCACACTTATAGTTCACACTTATAGATTTGCGAAATTCCACATTGCCGCACATCGCATTTGCAATGCGGAAACGATATATTGTGGTAAAATAAATTGTGTTCAATGTATGTGGCAGTTAATTCTATCAGTAATTTTACCATCACATATAATCACACTAGTTTTCATTTACGTAAACTTATAATTGAATAGTCCACTTATTTAAAAAATTCGACTATTATATAAATATATATAACTAAATAAGGAGTATAGGTCATAGGAAGACTTTCGTATGATTGGCTGTTTAAATCAATTTAAATTTTTTATTTTAATTTTACATTATTTATACAGCTTAAAGTACTTTTTTAAAAAAAATAAAACTACGAAGAATACATATAAAAAGTTTTATTAGGGTTGTAGGACTCAACCATTAAAAATAATCAAAAACATTTCTGATTTTAGAGAAGTTAGCATAATAGCGACTCCTTAAATATAGAACGAATTAGGTTATTACCATTCTAACTTTAAAACAAAAAGGGATTTTGATTATTTTTAATAGTGAAGTCCTACAACTCTAATAAAAGTTTTTATATGTATTCTTCGTAATTTTATTTTTTTAAAAAAAGTACTTTAAACTGTATAAATAATGTAAAGATTTCAATCATACGAAAGTCTTCCTATGAGAGTATAGGAGTTATGACTCAGGACTGGTTGGTTACGACCGATCTTGGGTATAACGTAATGTAATACATGCTATATAATTGGAAAATTGTAATAAAAATAAAGGTTGCAGAAAAGATATCTCTATGGTTTACCAAAAAAACAGCAAATTTATTTGACGAGTTTCCTAATCTACATGATAAGATTATAAAAATTGGGCATCTACACATAAAGGCCCAAAAATGAGAATAATGGCCCAAAATAAAAATTCTTACATATAGTAGCTATACTAGGAGACCAAAGCTACAAGACTTACATAGCGTGACTTCGAAAACTATTGCCGGTAAAGTTATGTATATCATGCTTAATTTAGACCTTTGTTTTGATTTTCACTTGGTTTTCGTTTGATTTTTACTTTGATTTCGCTTTGACTTTTATTTTGACTCTTCACTTTAAATTTTGCTTTTTTCGCCGTGCTGAATTCACAAAAATATAGTCTTGATCAATCGTTTAAATAAGCTATTTAAGTTCGTGAATGTTTCATACTTTTATTTTTGTTTATTAATGTTAATTTGTCTGGTAAATACAAATGATTTTAATGTCCAAATGACCGCAGCATATTATATCTTTTTATTCGTGTTATTTAGTTATGTACTAGCACTATGCAAATATAGAGGTTTGGTTGTATCATAATATTATTTAATAATGCAAATAGTGACCGATTTTATTTATTTTATTATTTATTCTTGCATCAATCAGGACCCGTAAACATTATCGGAATAATTGACCCAGTTGATGATTATCTGTCTAAATTTTTCCCACCCAGATTTTTTAGAATTGGATGCACACTTGATGGACTTCTTTGCAACCAGGGCATGGCGGTAAAGAAGCCTTCATCTTCGAGAGTTCAAGATGAATTAGCCTCTCAACCGATGCATATATTTGCAACGGTATTCTCCAAGTGAAAAAACTTCTAAAAAGTGTTGCTTTGTAATTGCATTTTTTTTCCATTGTTTCAGACATTGATCAACGTTTTTACAATGTCCGATTTTGTAATAGACGAATCCCATCATCCACTATATATGAATTAGAAAGAAATTTTTTACATAACAATTAATAAATTTTGTAACCGCAATAAAGCCAATCAAAATTTAAGATCTGGTGTAACGTGAAATCAAAACAGAAAAAAAATTGGCAATAACGATTACTTAAAAATTTTTTGCTAAATCTTGTCATAATTATGTCCTAAATCTTGTCATAATTATGTCCTTCCCAAACCCAAGCCTCACCCTAACCTTAACTGCGAAGGTTTATTTTTAAAAAAATTGTTTTCACATTACACCGGACAAAATTAATTCTTAATTTTTTACATCATACCTGTGAATACATAAAATATATTCTGCTTCGTCTCACAGGGATACATTTTAGCTTTCAGTAGTTCTTGTATTTCATCCGGGATATCCTTCTTTATATAATCTTGGAAATATATATATATATATAATCATTAGCCTTAGTGAAATTAAAATTAAAGTACCTTTTGATTTTATGTATATATTATTTGATTTCCTGGTCTTTATGATCGACCATTTATATAAAACAGATAATGCTAGTTAATCAGTTAATCCGGTGCATAGTTAAAAATAAAAGTAAATATATTGGTTGACATTATTGATAAATTGGTGATCATCTATCCAAAAATAGGTGCGATGCGACATGAAAATCTGATCTATTACTCCCCATAGTATCCTTTGGATATTTTTAATCAATGAGTTAAAATTCATAAAAGTCATAAGTTTATTAGCGAGATTCTTGAATAGTTTTTTTCGTGTAAAAAAACTAATTGCATCTTAAAGTTATTTTAGTAATATTATATAATTATTTTAATCCGACCACCCTTTTTTTCTGAGCGACGTTATGTATATCGATATGTAAGAAATTTTATTTTGTGCCTTCATCCGTAATTATTTTCATTTTTGGACCTTTATGTGTAAATTCCCCCTTATAAAATTGACAAATCAACTTTCAAGTATGTATAATAAAGCATGTATAATAAATTCATTGATTATTAAACTTGAAAATAAAATTTACTATATACATAGTTTATTATGACTGCTGACCAAAATATTACACAAAGGATTAAAATGTTTATTTGAACACAAGAAATGTTAAAGAGGATAATATAGCAAGAATGTTTTTAAGAGATGTATTCATAAAATGCGACTTAACAATATATTAAGATACATTTTAGATTTACATTGGGATCATTATGATAAAGAGCATTGCTATTGACCAGATTCTCATCCGTATCTTTCTTCTTCCAGAGCTTTTTTTGCGCCTTTAAAAGCGGCATTAGCGTCGATGGCAACTTCTTCAGCGATAATACCAAGGTTGCGAAGAATAAAAGACAATCCGCGAAAACAACCATATCCAAATACGGTAAAGAAAGCTGTAGATAAAGCTGCAAAGCACATCACGCAAACAACAGGAACAAAGAAAATTAAACCGAGACCGACAAAGAAACCTTCAGCGAGGACAATTCCGACACCGGTAATGCTTAGAACAAAAGCCGTAGTGCAGAACAGAAATACCAAAAAGACAGCTAAAGGAATAGCATTTAAAGCAATGACACCATAACCGAACCAACTAAGAGGTGGGAAATGATTCCAAATATAATAAACGCCATTAAATACTGGTCTGAGATATTCGCGCGGATTTCGCCAAATATTTACGTGACCAAGCTTAGATGAAACTTTGGAGGAGACATCAGAAACAATGTGGGCAGCTTTTTTTGTTGTATCATAACTTGTTTCTTCTACTTTTTCGGGGTGTGCAATAGAAAATCCTCTTTCAGGAGGCGGATAAAGATAAGACCTTTCTTCTTCAGTCATTATTGATTTCTTACAAAAAAGTTGGTCAGGAAGAATAAGAATGAAATGAATAATTCAGATAACAATTCAGATAACAGTTCAGATAACAATTTAGATGAAAATGTACGAATTGTTTAGATGTTCTCTTACGTTAATCGCTCTTAAATAGATACATTTTATTAATCTATATCACAATTTCATCATCTAACAGAGTTTAATATATTCATCGAAATGATATATTTATCTCGTCATTTCTTGTAATGAATCATAGTATTGATTAATGCGAACAAAACTCCGTTAATTCCTTAAAAGTTTACATATTCTTGATTTATTGCACAACCTTTTAAGATATAGGGTCTTTGCCCTGAAAATGACCTTACGAGACTATATAGATTTTATTAATAAAAATTGAAATTTCCAGGCATCTAGTAATACAATTCAAATAAACTTTTTTTTTTTTTTTTTTTTTTGTAGAACTTACTAAGTCTTACAAAATAAAAAAAAAGTTTATTTGAATTGTATTACTGAATGACTAGAAATTTCAATTTTTATTCATAAAATCTACATAATTTCGTAAGGTCATCTTCAAGGCAAAGACCCCATATCCTAAGATATTCTGAATAGCGAACACGTGTAATATTTGTAATCTCTATACAATAATTTCCATAAATTTTCGTCATTTTATCAATAAATTCACTAAATTACTTTTTTATTGCGAAAATGAATACAATATGACTTTGATTTTGTAATAATATTAAAGTAGAAAATTATTAATTATTACATTACGTAAATAGTTGCCTTTTGACCCGATACATTCTTTTTTTTTTCTTTTTTTTTCTCACAACGGACAGAGCCTTGATTTGTTTAAGTCATGTTACCAATAAAGCTGTCGGAATTCTTTCTGCGAATCATATGTACTCCATTTATCAATTAAATCATATCAGATTATCTTGATTCTATTGCGTATTGTGTATTTGATTACATGTAAACAAATCCACAATTACCTGTTAAAGATACATTATTTTAATTTGAATATATAAATATTCACCCTATATATGGCTATGACGCCACTAGCGCATGATCTTTTCCTCCGGAACCAACCTTTTTGTGTATTCGGTAATTTACAATTAAAAATCAAATACTGTATTGCCAAGAACATCAGCCAAAATTTTCCACGCAACAATATGCAATGACTTTCTATTTCCATTCAGACAATTATCACTATTATTGTTTCTTTGTTTTTTCCCACCCCACTTTTCAATGGACCTTTTAAAGTAATGTTATCCAAATTATCACTTTTTAATGTCATTTTGTGCATCTTGTCAAATGTTATTATGTTTTTTTTGTGACATATTGTTTTTTTTTTTTTTTATAAATAAATTTGCCTCTCAAACGCTCCTGTCAATTCGATTTTTTTTTTTCAACATTTCTAAACACTAAAGACACTAATAATTATAATTATAATAATAATATCGATATTGTGATACCCATTATTGTTGGCATTATTGAATTATTATTATTATTATTGTTGTTGACTTTTTTTTTTTAAATAAACACTTGACCAAAACATTCTTTTCTTCATTAAGACGTATTAAGACGCGAATATATGGGACAATATCACCCATCTTCATTTTCTTTCACAAGACGATTCAAAAGGCGATCCTCTATTGTAGCACCTCAACCTTTACCAAGACCAAAACACGAACTTGATTTAAGCGCAGAATTCCGTCGAATTGATAAAAAAACATATAACAGTATAATTAACAGTTCAAGATATGATTTACCAGATGATAATGAACGTATCGATAGAATCAAATTGAGACATCGTTTGTTTAGATATGTATGGCAAAAGAATTTTTTATCTCCAGTTAGAGATGATTTATTCAAAGGGATTAATGTTCTTGACGTTGGGTATGTTATGAAAATAGATTATTTAACTGTTTAACTGTTTAATTTAACTGTTTAATTTAACTGTTTGATTTAAACTGTTTAATTTAAACTGTTTGATTTAAACTGTTTAATTTAAACTGTTTAACTGTTTAAACCTTTTTAATAAGTACTAACCCATTATTTCTCATGTTAAAAAAAAGATGTGGTGAAGGTTCATGGGTATTCGACAATGCTTCCACTTATCCAAACTCTACTTTTCATGGAATAGACATGGCTGAAACGTTTCCAAAGGACACTTCTGCTTACCCAAACGTAAACTTTTCTCAAGTTAATATAGTCAACGGCTTGCCTTTTGAATCAAACTCTTTTGATTTTATACACCTGAGATTTTTGGTTCAATATTTAACCGAGGATGAATGGGATAATAAGGTTTTAAAAGAATTAATGAGAGTTTTAAAACCTGGTGGTTATTTGGAAATAATGGTAGGTTTTTTGATTTCTTCTTTCTTGTAATTCTGGCTAATCATTGTTACTAAATAATTTTTTAAACTAATAGGAATTTGACATGATATTTTACAATTCGGGTTATAATGCAGTTAAATTACAAAATTCAAGTAAATATATATTTTTCTTCTTAATTATAATTTATTCAAAAAAAAAAAGTCCAAATATCTAAACGTTTTATTCAAATTTTATTAGCAATAGGATATTTCAAATCGAAACAAATAAACGCTGTAATATCTCCACATCTTCTAAAATATTTATCCACCATATCACAATTTTCCGAAATACATCATGAAGTAAAATCAACTCCTTTGGGTAATTGGGGTGGCAGGTTAGGAAGTTTCGCCAAAATTTATTTTATGTTAGCTTTCAAATATATGAAACTGGTCCTACCTGAGTATATGAAAATTAGCAATGATGAGTATGATGATATTGTAAGCAAGTTTGGTGTAGAATGTGAACTAAATGAAACTTATATAAAGACCTTTAGGGTTTATTGTAAAAAATGTGTTAATTAATATGTTTAAATAATTCTCGTATTATACTTTGTATTTATAATTCATTCATTAATAATTTTAGTTTTTTATTATAGACTTTTTTTTTAGAGAATTTCATTCAATTACATATATATGGACTTTTTATTATGTATTGTTAATACCATACACCACAATTTTTTTCTTATGTATTTTATTTTTTTATCAGTATATTTTAAATACTGTATAAGAATTATGTTAATAGTCAATATTATTACCCTATGCATTTTTTTTTGTCATGTGAATAATAAATCATAATAATAACTTAAGAACAAAATTTATATCGTTTTGTAATAATAATTATTTAAAATTGTATATTATAAAAAATGACCAAATTTCATTTTACTCTGATTTCATTAGGATCTATATCCCGGTTTATAACAAATCAGATGATAAATATATTTTTTTTTTTTTGAAATCATAAATAAACAATGTCATAATAAATATGGTTGTTTTTTAATGGTCATTTTTGTATATGTGACGTCAAGTGAAACCAAGAATTCTAAATTTAGGTCGACAAGGTGAAATCCTCTTTTATATAACATGAAACAAAACGCGGGTTTCACCTTAACCCGATCTACAAATCAGATTTCACTATTTCGCAACTCAGGTTTCATCCATTATTAATTGATAAACTAATAATATATTCAAACAAAAGATTCGAAATACTTATTACATGTTCAAGATATAATATTTAAGTTGTACTCGAAATTCATACCTCCTTGAAGTTGATACTTTAAGAACCTTAACTCTAAATTGAACTTGACTGAAATTAAGAAATTAGATTTCTTGCGTGCATTGGTTAAGTAGTAATTTTAGGCAAGTGGCTGAATTTGCCACTTTATTATACATACTATTATACATACGTACAGATATAACTTCAAACATATATATTACGTAATATTTTTTACCATTGGCCAATCAAATAATGAAAATCGGAATTTTTATTTGATGTAAATATTTCAATATTTAGGGTCCAATTCTACTGATCACACAAACAACATAAATTGAATTATAAAGCTTTATACGTATAGCGGTAACTCAAAAATTGGAACCAAGAAAAATACTAATAATTTCGATGTTTAATACTAATAATATATCGATGTTTATTGTTACGTACAACAAAATTCAAATTTATTAAACGATTTGAGCAATCATCTGCGTAATCAAATTATGTAATCAAATCAAATTACAAAATTAATTTAATTTTCGGAATCCAACCAATCAAAAAGTATCTTGTCGATTATAATCTTCAAAAATTTTTGTTATGGTTTTTGTATCCCTCGGTGAATACGTAATAAAAAAAAATACATTGGTTTGTAAGGATTATAAAATAAAACAATGGTTTTTTTTTTTACGAAATTTCAAATATTCATCGAATTACAATTATTCATCGAATTACAATTTTGGATTTCTTTAGATGATTTGCACTATATTAAAGAATATGAAAAAAATTAATTGTTCTGCTAAACAAAAATAGCAGTAATCAATGCGAATGGGTTCTAACTAAATATGCAATATAAATTGATTATTTAAAAAAGAAAAAAGGTCAGTTAATTAACTTATTTGATATGTATAAATGAAATAATCTAAAAGATAATCTTGTAATATATATGTATAAATGAATCAATCTAAAAGATAATCTTTGTATAAACTCATTGCAAAAAAAAAAAATTTATCCAAATGAAACACTTTAGGGATGTTTCATTGAATCGGATTCTTTGAGTCATAAAATTATTCTGATCTATAATTTTGTGACTCCATATGATCTAATTTGACATATGGTGGTGGAGGTGAATAATATGCATCATAACCTGTTGAAACTGATGGATGTTGATTCTGAGGTAATGAATCTAATTGTGGTTCATCATAATTTGTGTAATATCCTGGATTCTGCTCGTCAAGATATGCATCTTCATCAACTTCCAATTCACTTTCTTCCACTGTTTGAATCTTTAATGCATTATTTCCGTCGACAAACATTGACATTGATTTTATAGTCCCTCGTCGATTCTCTTTTGTTTCACTTACTCGTCCACGATAAACCTTACTTAATGCGTCTTTAGCATTTGAATGAACCATTGGTGTAATTATTTCAGCTGTTAATGATGGATGACCAAATCTTGTGGAAACTTTTTCACGCAAATGATCGAGATCTCTACTGTCATTCGTTTTACAACTTTCTAAATATGCTTCTCTGGGTGTATAATATCGAATTTTTTGGTCAAATTGACGATGACAAAACACTTTAAATAATACCGTTAAACATGGAAGTGGTAGAATAGCAAAAGATTGAATTCTGGCATCTTTTAAATTCATCACTCCAATCATCGTAATTTGCCAAAAAATTGTTGAGAAAACAATGCGATTGAAAATCAATCGCCAAAATGATCCTGCCGTTTCAATTTTTGTTGTAAAAACATACCTAAAGTAATATTAATTTATATTAGTTTTAAGGTAATAATGATTAATAACTTTTCATGTTTTTAAATTTCACTCTTACATTAATTGATAACGATATATTAGATAGGCCAATGCAAAATAAGCAAAACAAAAGAATAGGATCAAAGGCGAAATAACACTATAAAGAATTCCAATGGTAAAGAAAAACAGATGAAGATTATAATATTCAGGATAATCAAAGTCCGGAGGACGTGAGAATTCTTTAAGATTTCGAGGAGTAGGTTTAACGAATCTTCTTTTTATAAACTTCATCATCAAGGAAGCAACTTGTGCCAAGTCAATTATTGCTCCAACACCACGTAAAGAAATATAATTGATCCAAAAAGTGGAAACTTTGATCATCGAATCCGCAATTTCATCAAAGAAATTGGATTTTTTGATTACATTATAAATATCTCTCAAGTTCGCATCACCTTCATCAATCTTTATCCTGATTTCTGTCCATACACCAACGATTGTTGAAGCGCAAGTATAAATAATAATACTATTTATCATAAAAAACAAATACAATTTTCCGAGCGTAGACCGATCAAGTGAAGATCTAGTTATTTTTCCTTGTTGTTTAGCAAGTTGACGAAGAATAGATGGTAATATAAGGAAAAATACGGCCATTATAATTGGGCTCATCCAAGCTTCCAATACACCAGAGAAAACCCCATTTTTACTTAAACCCTTTGTAAAGGGAAGAAGGTATTCAATGTTTTTAATTCGAGCCAAAGTAATTATAAAAGTTATAGGAACAAGCCAGAAAAAACATAGTACGATGAAAAGAGCATGACCAATAAGTATCTTTGGTCCTATATATTATTTAGTATGAAAAAAAAATAAAGTCAATGATAAACAAAAGTATCTTTAAAACATTATTAAAATGAGACGTTACCTCTGATAGCATCAGATATTGATAAATTACTCCATATAATATCTTTTGGTAATGGAGCAAGCATTACTTTTGGAGTAACAACATGTTGAGTTCGTTGAATAATTGATTTATCTCTAAGGTCTTTGGCAACCTTATGGGCATCAGGAATGTTAATAAAAGAAACAAAACCATAGTTTAATGGCTTTCTATCCGATATCGCATTACGACATTCAAATATTTGATTTTCAAGGGACTGAATTTCTTGAGTATAACATTCAATGCTATCAATAGAAGGCCCGCATAAACCTTCAATGTGATGGGTCGGTCGTGCTTCTGGAAGATTTTCCGGATCTATTCATCACATAAAATACATAAAATGCATAAAATACAAAATATGGTTAAATAAATATACATACTTAATAACATATATTTCACCTATACGTGAGTGTCTAAATTGTTTTTTTTCAAAAATAATTTCGTAAAAAATTTCTCACAACAAATTATACAAATTAATGTGTATTTTGGTATATATCGATGATCAAAATTTTTTATATAATTAAAAGCCCGAATCCACACTTTCCCTTGGCAGTACTCATTTAAGGTCCGTTATTTACTTACCATTCAGGTATTTAACTAAAACTGATTCCAATTTCCGAACAGCAACTTCATGCTTCTTGAGTAATTCAGGCAATTTCCCTACTTTTCTAGCTATATGTGCTTGTGAAATTGGATATTTGACATTGAAGGAGTCCATAAGCTTTAATAAACCTTGATCAGATTGCATAGAGTGTGGAACGTTGGTGACCAATAATGTTCTTGAATGTAAAGAAGTTTGATATTCATCAGATTCGAAATAATTCATTTTTAATTCAGCATAATCCCTATATTGTTTATAAACGAGCCAATATATAAGGGCAGAAAATATCCAAGTGAAAACAGCATGAATCCAAAACCATTGTAACTATGACAAAGTATAATTAGTTGATATAAGTTAATATAGTATTAAATATGTGGGATAAAAAAAAAAAAATTAATACATACATTTTTTAAATAGGAAATGCTGAGGAATTGAAGGGGGTTATCGGAATTAGGAAATTTGTAGTCCGAATCATGGTATGTACCGTAAATATTTAATGGTACTAAAACACATATACCCATAAGGAATAACCATAAGAATAAATTTCTACATAAACTTATAAATCTTAGATACATTACAGCATCTAGACCAATTTTTTCTATTAACTGTGATTCTGATACACTGATTACTGGTTTAATCCAAGAGAAAAGGCCTGATTTAAGCTTTGGTGGTTGTTTTCTGATTATATGAATTAAAAAAAAAGTGAAATTGTTAAATTAATCTTTTTTTATTAAATATAAAGATTAATGATATACTTACTTTTCTGGAGAATATTTTTGTTTTGGTGCATATACAACTGGAATTATGAAATTTTATCGTCACAGTTATTTATGCTGATATTAACACTAGTAATTATTTGATAACCTACTATCAATACTCACTCCCATTCCTAGGTCTAAGAAATCCAAATATTATTAGAGTTCCAAAACCTAAGGCGGTATTGATCGCTAATTGGGAATACATTCCCGTAATCGTAATCGTAGCGGACTGTTCTTCTTGCCCAACATAACTCATTTCTTTTTTTTTTTTTTAATACAAAAAGAAAGGATGATTCTAAATTTTCGATGCTTTATAATGATACAATACAATAATTAAATTAAAGATTAATATTATATGCATTGATTTTAATGAAGCATATCTTTAACTAAATATATGTGTGTAGGAAAAGGAATGGAAAATCATTGACAATGAATCGTATAGACAAGCAAAAAAAAAATTATGCTAAAGAGTATAAAGAAAGAATGATATAGGATCTAAAGAAAGAAGGTAAAAAAATTAAATGTTAGACTTACGCGTTGTGTATGATGAAACGCATATTTGTATTGCTTTGTGTTGTACGTATAAATGTTATAAAATTCGTCTAACCAATTTATACTATGTACCGATACTTGCAAAAGGAATAATCTGTACGTAGCAATAGTGTGAACATCTTGCTATAACATGGTTGTAACTTTAAAAGTTAATTAAACCCGCTTTTGAATATAGATTTTAACACAATTATAACAATATTCTGTTCCTCTTGTAAAAAAAGTAGTTCAAATGTCTTGTTTATTGAAGTATACACTTTCTCTTCATTATCGTTATGTGAATAAAAATAAAATAATAGATCTATATAAGGTTAAATCAATTTGTTTTCATAGCCCAGCTGGGTCAAAGTTTTATCAAAATTCCTTCAAATTCTCAGGCGGTTTCACTAAAAATAAATCTTTTCCATATTATGTTCGTTTTGTTGAAATTAATTTAACGTTAATGTTACCTGTTACCATTACCAGTAATATTTAAGTTTTTTCATACCTTATCTGATATGTGTGACTCAAATTTCCGATTGGACGAACAGTGTACGTAGTCAAAAGTAACGATATAGTTGACGTCACCCGATTTCAGCTCCGCAGGAAGCTGAAATAAGTCACGTGCCCTAATAAAGACAATAGTAATTCAGGTACACACATTTAAGGCAAAATGACACTTACAAACTCGTAAGATTCCAAGCTTCGAATTTAACGTTAAAGTCAATTCTGTCCGTGTCCTGGCAAACATAATTGCAATTAGTGCACAAAATTGAAAACGCAAATAAAAGAAAGAAGTTACAAAACTTATCTCAACGTACATACGTAAACCGTCAATCATAAAATGTACTCAAAGATTTTTAATACAGTAATCAAAAATCAAGACTCTGCTCTATGTCTCTACCCGTACTGCTTTTTTCACTCGTTTAAAATACAAAAGTACAAAAGCTATTTAATGTTTTCGCTTTAATATTTTGCAATAAATTATATGATTTTTCTGATACATTTCTCATGAACATATATTTATTGAAAACTTCCAAGCCTGTTTGATTGTTGATGTCTAAGAATACACTTTTTTTCGTAAAGATAACATTTATATACTGATAGAGATAAATCATTTCCTGTTGAGATTTTTTATCTTCAGTTCCAATATTATTTTAACTATGGCACTATATTTATATATATATATACCGCACTCCTTCGGTTTAGGCTGTTTTGATTTGAAAATATCGATACGTACATACGTACCTGAAATTGCAACTGAGGTTACAACTGCTAATTCAGCCAAGTGCAACTTCAGGCACGATATAAACAACTAATTCGAATTTTTTTTCAATCTTTTTTTTTTTTTTTACTGATAAAGAATTTACATATCTCTAGTAATTTAGTATATCTTTGTCTATTTTCTAAACTTCTAATCCAGATAGTTCAATAAGACTACAACCAGTCTATTAATATATCAGGTCAATCTAATATTCTTTTTTTTTAGTTCATTCTAATAGTTTAGTTAGTAGTACTCTTACTCAGAAGTTTTTGTCTATCTATTTTTAGATCTATCCTTTACAATAATATTGTCAAAGATTTGTATTATCTTTTTACTTAGGTTTTTTAAATGAACTTTTTGTTTTTTAATTTCAACAGATTTACATAGTTACAAGAACTTGCATCACTTGATGCTGATTTATATTCTTTTGTGTAATATTATATTTACACAAATGTTTTATAACCTGTTAGTTATACTAATACAACTGCTATTACAGGTATCTTAATTCAATTATTAGAAACAGTTATTATAATACAAGTATTATATAAATAATTATCTAAATTTTTATTGTGAACATTCAATCTATTACTTGAAAAGTTGATAACTTATTCATTTTACTAAGTTGTTATATCTTTGTATATGTAATTTGTTCTTTTTTTTTAGTATTTAAGGTAATCTTTTTAATCTTTTAATTTTATTAATATTTTTATTAGACATTATAATAAGTGTACAACTGATTACACATATAACTTTTCTATATTACCTATTTAAGGAGTTTGCTCAAGAGTTTTCTACCGGTTATCATATCTAACACCTTTGCTTAGATGTTTCATTTAAATTTTCTGATTCAAAATCCTTATATCAACTTCATTAAGTTACTTGTATTTAGATTCTTATTTTAAACTTAGAACAATTTTATTTTTAAGAATAAATCTATCAGAATAAACTATATATTCCTATTTATTACTAACCTAAATTTTCTGTTATGACTAAAACCAATACTTGTAGTTAGAGTTAAACCACTATTATCTTTATAAAATTCACACAAACTCTGGTATCTGTCTTTTTGATATCTTCTCTATCATTTTTACTAGTTACAACTTAGAACTAACAAACTTCTTAAATTTTCAATTCAGATGGTCTAGTATAATATACTTATACATTCTTTTTCTTTAAGGATTCTAATAGTTTAGTTAACCATGTACTTCTTTACATATCTTGTTATTTGATTTATTTAACAATTCTTATAAAAGTATTTCATAAACTTCCATCAGTCTAACAATACTATCAAAAATTTGTGCTATTTTTTTCTTAAAATGTCTAAGTAAGCTTCTGTCTTCTTAGTTTTTTAATTTTCTATAATCAATAAACTTATTACAGATTTGTACTAAAACCTTATACAACATCAATTTTTTACATTCCTCTATATATATATAATGTTATATTTCATATAAATATTCTGAGTTTCTAAAATTAGACAGGTTTCAATCTAATGTATTAAAGATTACAGATATATAAATCTAACTGATCTTTTTTTTTAACTTTGGTAATCTTGTCAATATCTTTTATTAAAAGAATTGCATGTTTAATTATATAAATATTAGCTTAATTTCTAGGTTTGACATCTTTCAACTACTGTATCAGTGTCTAGAGACAGTCTGTTATACTAGTATAAGTTGTTACTTATTATTAGAGACCTATTCAGGCTAGTCTTTGAGATTGTTCCAGTAAGGCCTCCTGTTATTATTAATTAACTTCTGTATTGTATTCTTTTATAACTTTTCTATTTCTTTTTATTCTATTTTTTTTTTTTGTATTCTTTTCTTTTTCTGGTTTTTTATTTCTTGATCCTGCTATCACTTTATTTACTACTCTAGTTTGTTGTTTTGATACTTGGGTTTTGTTTTTCTTTCTTCTTGTACTAATGTCTTGACTTTTTTCCTATTCACATACTTTGTTACATTTTTTTTTTTATATTGTTTTATAAAACTTATTCCATATCATATCTATAGTGTTTACTAAAAAGTTTCTTGTTTCTTTTAGTAAAACTAGTATATCTTGTACTCTTTCAACTATTTTTTCTTGTAAAAGACCTTTGATAAGCTTCTTTTATACTTCTGTTTTTTCCTCTTTTGTTTGGCTCCATATTGTTTTTTTTAGTTGTATTTGTATAGTGTTTTTTTTTTTGTCCTCTAATAGCTTACTCTATGCTACTGTTATTGTTAGTGTTTCTGCCTTTAATCAAAGGTTTTTGTAAGCAGAACAGACAATTTAATGATTTTAATCCTCTTCTTTTTCTTCTATACATATAATGCAGTCTGGTTCTGTATATAGATCTGAATATCTTGTTGTTAGTTCTTTAAGTGTTGGCATCTTTTCTTGTATACACTTGAAAAGCATACTAAGTCTTTTACTTCTTCTAATTGAACTGCATCTAACTTCATTCTGGTTCTTAATTTTTTTCTATAACAGCACCTAGCAATGCTTTTTTTCTTCTTGTTCTGGTTCTAGCTTTTTAACTACTGATAAAAAACTCCAATCTGCATTGTTTTTAATATTAAGAACTTCCTTAACAAAGTCTCATGTTGGGCTTTCTACAACTATATTTTTTCAAAGAAGTAATATGTTGGATCTTGAAACTGGCTTCACTATAATTTTATCTAGATCTAGCAGATTTGCTTCTTCTTTTGTTAAAACATCTGCTCTATTATTTAATCTGTTATTGTTATAACTTTTTACTTTAACAAATTCTAATTCTATTTTTTTTTGTTTTTATTATGTTTTCTATATTCATATTTAGGTTGTAATTTTTCTTTTTCATTCTTCTTCTGTTGGTTGCAAATTGACTATTATTGGATATACTTAATATAGCTGCTACACTGTCTGTATGTATCTTAATTTTACTTTCACTTGGTACTATAAGAATTATATACTAAATTGCTAACAGTTCAGCTTTAGTTAAGGAAGGCCATCTTTTTACTCTAATAGCAACTTTGTCGATTACATATTCCTCTTTATTGTCTACTTGTAACCAACCAGCTCCCATTTGATTCAGGCCTTGGTCCTCTTTTTTTGTTTTTACCAATGATCTGTTTATATAAAAAATTAGTTCTTTTTGTCTATTGTTCTCTTAAATATACTTATGTTTTTCTATAAATAAGCTAATAAGTTTGATACTGTAATATGGTTGCTTAACCTAACTAGATTCTAAATATTTGTTTAATAAATATGTTGTCGCCAGTCAAATCAAGCAAGAATATTACTTGACTTAACGTGAATGAGTGGTTAAGAAATGTGTTTTAAAAAAAAA